CCCCTGACACGTGGTCTGCGGCCATTTTTCCGCCCCCGACACGTGGTCCGCGGCCATTTTCCGCCCCTGACACATGGTCCGCGGCCATTTTCCACCCGACACGTGGTCCGCGGCCATTTTTCCACCCGACACATAGTCTGCAGCCATTTTTCCACCCGACACGTGGTCCGCGGCCATTTTCCGCCCGACATGTGGTCGTAGGGAGGGGGACTCTCCCTCCAAGCAATAGCCGCCTCCCTCTCCTCCACGCCAGAATGGGTTAACGGTAATTACACTGAACCTTATGGGGAAATTTGCTTTGGGGTGCAACCAATTCGGGGTGCGACCAGAGTCACGGAACAAATTAAGTTCATAAACCGAGGTTCCACTGTAACTGCAATTGTTTCACAAAATACATTTAGGGTAACCTATCAGCATAGTGTTTAATATTGCTGCAAAGCATGTGCTTCACAGAATAGTAATTCTGTTCATGGTAAACGAATATACACAAAAGCGATAGTTGATATTGCTGATTTGTTTTGAAATTGGAAGCTAAGCAGGGCCTGACCTAGTTAATACTTGGATGGGAAACTGCCACAGGCTATAGGCTAGACTGGGAAGTCAAAAAACATCCTGGAAAATGGCAACGGTGAACCATTTCCATATTTCTACCAAGAAAACTGCATGGTTGTAAACATATATCCATGACGTACTCAAGAGCTGAGCCTGACCCAAGGACTTTACTTTTTTACAAGCCAAAGTAGTCTATCAAATAAGCAGGAGTGTCCACTGGGGATGAAGGGTGTCAAAAAAGTCAAGATGGCAGCTGTGACTGCATGATAAAGCCCTGCCTTTTTCTATGTGTGTGTGACACACACAAAAGGGGTCAGGCTTCAATCACATGGTTGCAACCACCATACTGACTGTTTTTATGTTCCTCCATAAACACTACTGCAAATAAGTAAACATATGACTCCCGCAATCTTGCATTCTTAAAGGAAATGCTAACCTAGACAATCTAGGGCTTTATCTAAAGATAAGAAGTTCATTGATGTTTAAGTAAAAGCATTATTGAAGTAATTCAAATCCAAAGCTTTAACTGAACAACAAAACTGAATTTATATTTTACAGATACTATCACTTTTATATAGGTGTCTTAATCGAACCTACTTCAACTCAGTGAATAGTGGAAGTGCTCCTCAAGCCTGGTTTGTGTTGAGTCCTTCCAGCAGAAAACTATCAAACTGGAGATTTAAGGTTGGAAATCTCTTTCTATGATCTTCTTTTTCTTTTGTATGGAAAGGGTCTGTCATGTGAGACCCTGCTTAATACCGGAAACAATGCAATTCAGATACAGTGGTACCTTGGGTTATGAACGCCTCTGCTTACGAACTTTTCGGGTTAC